TGGATAATTTTTTACTATACTTTTTTTTTTAATTTTTAAAATAATTTTTAAAACTAGAGATAGCTTTTCTTGATATTCATTTTTTATTGGTTGCGCTATGATTACTTAGTTTTCATATTAGATATAAGGCTTTTGCTATGTGTAAAACAGATGTGTACTTGGCTAATAAAATTATTTATGCGTTACTGTTTTTATATGATCAGATTTAATTTTTTGCAGATTATTGTAGGCAAAAAATTTTCATTTTAATGTTGGATAATGAAATTAAAAATGGAACTAGAACAAACTATTCGTCAGTAAATGCAAAGGCATAAATTGTGGCATAATGAAAGTAAGGAAAGTTATTTCTGCTTTTCAAAACTGTTTCAATTTTCAGAATAAAAATTTTTAGATTTCTAGATTGAAGCTTTGTTATTTTTGGGTGTTTTGAATGTCATGAGTTGAAATTTGTTATGAAAAGACATATTTTGTCAGGATTTTTCTAGTGTATTTTCTTTCTTTTTTTGTTGTTTTTGCTTTTCTGATAGTAATTATATTTTGGTTCTTTTTATTTTATTTCAGTCCTTTTGTTATCTTTGAATATTCTAGTATTTTTCTGCTTTGTTGTTCGTGTTCCTTTTTAGGAATTTTTAGGAAAGAGAAGTATTCATTTTGGGGTAGTTCGTTTGCTATGTCACAGATATATACTTATGAAAATGCTTCTTTGTTTTCATAATTTCATCTGGTCTTTAATCAAAGCTTCTTTATTTTTAAATGTTAATTTTATCTTTTCTTTTATTTCATCCTTTTTTATGTTTTTCACTTTGATGGCTTTGCATTAAGCAGCTTTTGATTTAGCTAAATATGAAAATGAGTTGGCTGCAAGTTTTAATGCATAATTTTGTAGAGTTGGTTCTGCATGTTTGTTTGCGGAGAGTATGCTAATTTACTATATTTTTGTGGCTTAAGATATGCTTTGTTATTTATTATAAGTTCTTCTCTTATTTTTTTAAGACCAGTGGTGCCAACCTTTATCAAGATTACTTCACATGTGGTCTTTATTCGGACTTACCCTCGTTTTCGTCGTAAGTCAATATTTTTGTGTTGAGCCCATATTTTTTGACTTTTTTGCTGTATATATATTTGTTTAGTTTCGTGTAAAAGTAACATTTGGAAGATATAAGCTTTTCGAGCCTTGTTTTCTGTTGGTTCTTAAATATTTTATTTTTTATTTACTGTATCGTTAATTTTCAACTTGAAAAGAGTTTTTTGAAGATAACAATAAATAGGTTTTTAGTGTTCTATTTTTTTCCCGCTGTTTGAATTTGCGAACAAATGAATTTAAGCTTACATCATAAGTTTCAATTGGTTATTTTTGTGTAGTAATGTTGTTTGCTGTATCTGCAGATATTTTTTTTGCTTAGGATTTTTTTAAGGTTTATTGGTATTTTTTCTTAATGTGATTTGCTATCATAGTTTCAGTTTCTAGAATATTGTTGCGATGAAAGGAAATCCTAAGTGCTTTTTGCCTTATCAAAACAATATGTTCTTGATTTCAGAAATTTTTGTTCAAAATTTTGGTTTTGAATTGAGTTTACTGTTAATTGTTTATAAGATTCCCTTTTTCAGCTGTCTTCTGCTCTATGATTTTGATAAATGGCAGCAGCAGCGGGAGTGATTCGTTTTGCTACTGGTTGGAAGTGTGCAAGGAGTTTTCGACAATTTCTCGGAAATTTTGTAGTTAAATTATTTTTTTTAATTGAAATTTATTAGCTGAATTACTCTAGTGATTCTTCTGATACTAATTTTTTTGCCTTCAATTATTTCAATGAAATATTTACCTGATATCAAATTTTAAGCAGTTTTTAAAGGCAAAAAATATTAATCTATCAATACGTTCAATAATTATTTGCAATTAACAGGAGTACAGACATTATAGCAAGTTAATGGATATAAATGTGTCATGTTACTTAGTTGTTGGATGCTTTATTTTTTTGAAAAAAAAAGTGCAAGCTGACATTGAGTTAGTTCGTCGTGAAACAGGCCAGTTTTTTTGTTGTATTTCTGTAATTTATTGGGGGATTGCACGAAAAGACAGTCAGAAAAATTTAGATCTACAATTTTTTTTGTATTTATTTTTTTATTGAATTTTTGTTTTTTCTCTTTTTTTGCCTGTCATCTTCTCTGTTATTATATATTTGGGTTCTTCAGTGCTTTCTTATAAAGTTCGTATTAGTTTTAGTTCTCAGCGGACACTCTACAGAGACATATTTGGAATATTTTTTAAATCTTCCTTTTTTATTGGAGAGTTCTTGCGTACCCTCACGTCACGTTTCTAATTTTAAAGTTTTGGTATAATTTCTGGATTTTTTTATTGTCTTTATACTGATAAAAATCCTTAACTTTGCTTTGTGTAATTTAATTGAATATGGAGAAAATAACAGGAAATGTAATCTAAAATATAGATGTGATTTTATCTTGTATCGTTATCGAATTACTTTCTTGAAAATAATCATTATGACAGGCATGTGATGGAATAATTTTCGTGTGAAAAACATTTTTTGACATTTTTCTCCGTACATTGAAAGAACAATTAATACATAATCACAGTAGTAAACATTGGTTATGATTAATATATTACCGCAGTAAACTGTTATGAAAACTGTAAACGAATGAAAACTGAGTTCATTCAAAAAAATCTGATGCTATTTGTCAACATCTAAAAGTTCAATTTCATATGGAAAAAAAACCAGGAACTTTGGGATCACGGTCATCGTTACTGCATTGTTTTGAACACGGGAATTTGAGGACATTACAAGTGGTTCTAAATTTTAGTAATGGAAGTAGACGATAGCGGTCGGTGTATTGCAGTGCGGTTTTTTTTTTGAAGTGGCAGTTCGTATCGGTAAGGTAAATTTTATGGATACAAAAAGTAAAAAAGCTGAAATGTCCTACAAATAAGTGTGTGCCTTTTTCCCGTTCGAAGTAAATAATTTCCTTAAATATATGAGAGGAAATAGAGGATGGCGATGTGAAGACGATGAAAGTAAAAATAAAGTGGCCGAACAAGTTTTTGTTTGTATGTTCTTTTCATGAACTACCACCTTGTACATCAGCAAAGTGCTTTCCATCATGACTGCTCGGTTTCTTGCACCGCTGAATCAGGTTTTTTTTGCAGCTTTAGCTGACTCTAATGTTAGTTTATTGAACTATTGAGAAAGAATTTTCTTATGTTCTTCGACTCCACTGAGTTTTTGTTTTGCATTTGAAGCATTATACTTTAGTTTGTCTCACGTTGTCTAGCTATATTTTCGTACTAGATAAATGAACAATTTATCTATTTAATATGGAAAACTGAACTAGACGTAACGAACTCTACTAAATTTCGTAATTTACTCTAGAAGTAACTGCACCTCAGAAAGGAAGGAAAAAGAAGTGAATTTTTCATTAGCATGTAGTGCTTCTTGTTTTAAAATTTTATTAGTAAACAGATAGTAGACTTTAAAAATGAATTGTAAAAATATGCCTGCTGTTAAATGAGTGATACAAAGAACGCATGATTACTTGATCATTTAAATTGTTATATAAAAGTGAAAATATTGCTCTTGTCAAGATCACAGTTCCGCTGAAAATGGATCTTATGGGACAGGATTGTAACATTTTTGATATGACTTCGGAGATACTCGGTAATTAGACTAAACACGCCATCCCTTGTTAACTACAAATTCGCAAGCAGTAATATCAGTCTTTTTGAGATGCTACTTTTGTTGTTGCAATTAAGTTTATTTGTCAATCAAGTAACCGAATCATGCATTTCGTCACGAATGTTATCAAAATCGGAAAAGTGTGGTACAGAAAACTGCCAACAAAATAATAAAACTGCAGCAGTTGCTATTCATGCATCTCGAAGTTATGGCTGTCCAAAAAAGGTCGATGCAGCTACTGAAGGTAAGCATTATTCTATACTTGACTCCAGTAATAAATGACCAAGCTTTTGTCGATATTGCGTAAAATATACCGAATGTCCCAATCTTATAAAATATGAGTTAGAATGTGACATCTTCTGCAACATACTTTTGTGATATACCGTTCATTTTAAGCGGAATAAACTGACGTAGATTTTAAGTACATGCTGTAATAATGCAAACTACTAGATTGCCTCTTTGACTTCAAATTATTCAGATGGTTAAAAATCAGATTTAGTCTCTGTGGATGTTAATTTTTGATCATATTAAGGAGGACTCTTTTGTGACAATTAATATATTGTATAATAGCCAAATGGGTATACATGCACAATTCTACTTGCAGTGCTTGGAAAATTATATATTTTCTCGGATGGTAAAGTGTGGACGTTCAAAGATCGAAGACCTGAAGTGGCAGTTCGTATCGGTAAGGTAAATTTTATGGATACAAAAAGAGACTGGATGATTACTTGACTAGGAAGTATCCATGACAAAAGCTGGCTTCAAACGTCAAGCGTTTCCATCCCTTTATTTTAGATCTTTTCGCATGGGCCCAATTACGTTAACGCATCAGTTTCAACGCAATATCAAACGTATCTCATAAAAGACCGAACCATTTTCGCTTTTGAAGTCGACAAAACTACTGGTTACTTTCGGTAATCTTACAATGCATGCAGAACTCAGTTATAACTTTTGTTCTTCATCTACAGAACATAAAAAAAAACAAGACACCCGAAACTGTCCAAGTCGGTCAGTTGCGTTCAGTTTCAGGATAAAAGAAGGATGGCCCAAAGTGCTGCAGAACAACATTCTTTTCTTCCCACAGGCAGCATTTCCTATCAAGAACGGTAGTGCCATAATTGCTTCGGTAAGTTCATTCTGGAAATTTTACGAAAATACTAAATCCACGTGCTAACAGTTAAATGATTATATGCTTCAATATTTCCAATCTTTTTGCCAATGTTTAGCCTATCAGTTGGGGATGCAAAGAGACTCACTAAACATTGGCAAAAAGTACGTAACGAAAACTACACATGGGACCCGCAACAAAATTAGTACTATTTATCAAAATTGCAGGGAGATGTATTTGCAACATATAATTTCATGCACAATGAGGTGTCATTAATTGGAGATTTAACGATACACTACCCAAACTTACCAGCCGACTTTCGATCTGGCATACCATACCCCTCACAGCAATTCGAGATGTATCATTTCATTGGTATACACACACTGTACGAATATGATATGCATATGCATCAAATCATATTTGCGCAGCCACTTAAAAAATACCTTTTATGTTAAGTGATAGTGAACCACATGAAAACTACAGAGAAAATGTCAAAAATTTTGAGTACTTCTCATCATATGAGATCATTCTCTAAAACTAAAATAAAACCCTGCACAACAACCAGTTACATAAATGAATGCAAACATGAGAGCGAATCAATTTTTATTCATCATTTTAATAAAAAACGGTATTTTGAGAATAAAATTGCAAAAGATGCTTTATTGTTTCCAATAAAACAATGCAGATAAACTTTTGTATTATATATAACATTCAAAATAAAACACAAATATCCCACTTCTTTACTACAGGCGCCACATTTTTAATACTTTATCTTTTCCACCACTAGCTACTCGTGTGCCATCTGGACTCCAATCAACTGCGTATACATCAGCGCCATGTCCTGGAAGATCTCTGCAGAGACCTCGTTTTTCTATATCCCAAACCTGAATATTCGATCAAAAACTAATCTTTCTACTTCTTATCTGCTTACTACTGTAGTTGCTGAATGATAAAGATGATCTCATCAAGATTTTGAGAACAAGCATTATTCCATGCATTCACTACTTAGACATGTATGTTCTCCAGAACAGAGATAAAGCGATCACCTGCCGTGAAAATATTGTGAATATACCTTCAAAGTGGAATCTGCAGAACCTGAAACCAACAAACGACTGTCTGCCGACCATGCAATTTGATAGACTGCTTGAACATGCCCTCGTAATGTATCAATGAAAGCACCAGTTCTTCCACACCACAATTTAATCGATTTATCGAATGATGCTGATGCAACGTAGCGAGCATTAGGTGAGAACATCACCTTAAAATGGTCTTGTAATGGTAGCAAGTCCAAGGTTATTAGAAACTTTGTTTTCGTTATCATCGCACAATCTATATACTCGTAGGATAAAAACAAGGTCTGGTTACAGCATTTAATATTTAAATAAATCCTTGATAGATAGCCAAGCAAAACCAATTGATGGTATTTATCAGACCTGGATAACTGGTTGCATATGACCAGTCATATGTACTCGAGGTTTTCTATCTTCTGCCGGCTTCCACAGATACAATGTAAAATCATCTGAACTGGACACAAGTACTTCTCCAGATGAGCCCTTTGCCTTCTGATATTGTTCTAGAGCTTGTTGGTGACACTTTTCCTAAAAAAAAATACCATTCTTAACCTTTCTCAACATTACACGCCTCTCGTATACAATTAATAATGTCATGAACGTCAAAAATTCTAAAATCATTCTTTAAGGGCATGAGACATAATTGTTTTCTTCGATTAAGGATACGTCTTTAAGTTCTTTAAAATTTTAAATCTTAAAGTTGCTTAGTAACAATTTTTTTTAAAATAATCAAAATCACCTTATCAAATGAAACATTGGGTAGTTCTAATGCATTCCAAAAGCTTGTTCGCATAGCATAGTCCACATTTAAAGTTAACGAGTTCACCCAATGAGCATGACCAAGAAGAGTACGACATAATGTTCCATCAGCTGCACGCCAAACTTTAATAGTACGATCCTATACAAAGATATGTTTTCATGCAAATAAATTATATCAATTCACAAATAAATTTTCTTATTGAAGTTGAAAAGCATGGTCACTACTGAAAGACGAGCAACCTTAACGACTGCGATATTTTTACCACCAGAATATTAAAGACAAGAAGAGTATTTTCACAAAATTCAATAGGAATGAAGACCTGTGATCCACTATAAATTAAACCCTCTCCACCCCATTTCACGCAAGTAACTGATGCTATATGTCCACTCAAACATCGAACAGATCCGTATTTTACGATATCCCAAATTCTTATGTCACCATCTTTTCCTGCACTTGCCAAATACCTTATAATTTAAAAATCATTCATGAAACAAAATTTATTGGGACAAATGATATTTGAAATCATAACTTAAGGAAATAGACATGAAATACCTGCACTGTGGATTACTATGATATGGTTCCCATGAAAGTTGATTGATCCACTTCTTATGACCAATCAGTTTTCTGCCAATTTGATTCCCCTTTTTTGGATCCCACAAACAAATCTAAATAAAATTTTGTCAATACCAAGAAACCATAAATGAAGATGAAAATTTAGTGAAAGGAATACCAAAACGAACATACTTCTCCATTCTTGCAAGCGGATGCAACCGTTTGACCATTAGGTGACCATGCAATGCACAATACACTTTTCGTATGTCCTTTACCAGTATGCAATGGCGTTTCAGTGCTGAGATCCCAAAAACGTATCGTAGTATCTGAAGAGCCACTGGCAAGACCCCTACAAATAGTAATTCTTTTATGAATAGTAATGGGATAACATTATTCACTCGAATACTCACAATATGCATACGAACAATAACTTTCAGTCTACACAAAAACTGTAAATTCTAACCTTCCATTTGGACTAAATTGCAAACATAGCACTGGTTCACCATGCCCTGGGATTGATGAAGTACACCTTGTCACCGGTCTGACGCGAAATACTGCTTCTGGATAATACACAATCTCGATACTCTGCAACTTGATCAAAAATTTTCTGACAAACAGAAAGTAGAATTATCTCTGTTTTCAAAAAGTAAAGGTAAACGAAAAAAAAACCATAGCATCTAGTTTCTGAATAACTTTGCTAACTTTCAAAAAAGTTTAGTATAAACTGCTAATTTATTCCAAAAACTCATAAAAATTCGAGCTCTAATCAACAATCCCGACAACACACCTTTTCCACTTCAATTTCCTCTTCCGGTATGGAGTTACTCAGAGAATCCTCAATTAAAATGCCGCTTTTAGTCCGAAAAGTAATCGGAATTGGATCACTCGAACTATCCAATAATTCATTGCATAGAGTCTGAAAACGTTGCTCACAAGATAGTCCTTCAGAAAAAAAAAGGATTAACTTCCACCACAAATGAATTGCAGGCTTCAGCATTGGCAATCAAGAACTAAACGTACTTCAAGTTGGGAGGTGGTAGCACACAAAGGAAGTAAAATCGCTGATCCACCAAGTCCATCACCGTTCTCTGAGAAAAACCGCACTGCAATACACCGACCGCTATCTTCTACTTCCATTACTAAAATTTAGTACTTGTAATGTTCTCAAATTCCCGTGTTCAAAACAATGCAGTAACGATGACCGTGATCCCAAAGTTCCTGGTTTTTTTTCCACATGAAATTGAACTTTTAGATGTTGACAAATAACTGAACTGCTTTTTTTAACTTCAGAATGTTGATGAATACACATAAGTAATATTATATATATTTATCATAAAATTCAATCCATAATATTCACAACAGAAGAAATAAAAACAATTAATCCGCCATATCGTCTTCATCTATTTTAGCTTTGGCCCAATTTTCTGCTTCAATCACTACCTAAAATGTATAAGAATAACGAAAAGAAGAAAAAGACTAGTATATCTAAATAGACCAAGTCTTAGTATTCATAATACATTACGATTACGCCCAAAAATTCTCATTTATAATTCAATATAGCTGAAAATTTGACAGCCACAAAAATATGTGAGACAAGTTTTAAAATACCGAATGCTGAACAAAGCGCGCCACAACTGCAAGTGCTTTTTGAAAATTATTCCTACACACTCAAGACAAGAATATGGGAACTCCAATAGATCTACTGAATAACTATCAAAAATACTACCTTTTCTTTATGATTTTTTTTGTAGACAAATATGGCACTAATGAAACGCAGCAAAGGTTGAACATGCGTTAAGCAAAACATATAGAAAGTAGAAAAGGAATCAGATTAACTCATTTCGCTTTTGAAATTTTAAAATAAAACAAGTTTCTAAATTTTGAAATTTAGAGAAATTTTGGGATATTCTAAAAATAACTAACCTCTTTAGGAACAATTTCATGTTTCCCATTAGTGAATTCGCCAACCCAACCCATTTCTATTTGGGGATTTCTATCTTTTGTTTCATCTCGTACCATCATAATTATCCGAGCCGCTTCTGAAACATAATTTGGTCAGTTATCCACTACGCCTAACAATATTATTTACCTTTTCTTAAGAAATGAAAAATTCTAGTTTGAAGCCATTATTACCCTTAATTAAGTGTTGCATTGGAATAGTCTCCAATTTCATTTTCTCAATTTCCGTTTTGGCGGCTTGTCGGTGCTTGCCAATAGCCCATGCTCTATATTCATAACATAAACCCGATGGTTCCAACAGAAACAACTTCGCACCATTCTATGAGATTAAATTTTATAAATTAATTTATTTTCGTGGATGTGAAACTAAGAGTAACTAGTTAGTAAAAAGTAATTTTTCTACTGTGGTACGTTTCACAACAAAACTATTATTACTTTTACTTACCATTATTACTTTCACGACTACTATACAGAACAAGCTTGCGTTCCGACCGACACAAAAAATTAGTTACCTCTGCATCCCACGCACTCAAAAAAATGGAAGCTCCAAAAGGTCTACTGATACCAAGCGTATAAACATGAATATATTCAGCCAACTAAAAATTTAATCTCGTGCAGAAAAAATATTCAATATTATGCACTGTTCCACCAGTGCCAGTTCAGTAACTGGAAAAATGTAAATTTAAAGATTTTTCTTTATTTCAATCTTTAATTAGCCAGATCTACAAAGAATACTTTTTGTACCAACTCATGAAAATAGACTAACTCATAAAGATGTGAATTGTAATTAGAATATATTATAGATAACAGGAGTACCTGGTTTGCTAGCTTTTTGATAGGGATAGGTGACCGATATTCCTTCAGATAATTCAATGCCTCGTTAATGGCATAATCAAGAAGTGCTTTACAATCTGGATATATACCTGCCATTGTACAACCAATGTATTCTCCTGCATTAGCTACTCTTGAGTTCGCATTCTAAAATTAATGCAACAAAAACTTCCTACAGACAGATGCTCGAGATAGAAATACGACATTTTACAAGAAATGATTGAGGACTAAATTTGAGAGTGATTCAGTAAATGATTGAGACTTCTTTGCGCAACAAAATTCAATAATCTCAAAGTTCAGAGCTCTTATACAGATGCACACCATTAAATAACAGCCATGGTTTCCAAAGATGAAAGATTCTTACTTCAACATACAATTTCGATGAGACTACTTTATCTGCTGCCGTAACAACGCCATCTTTGCCTCGCAATGCAATCATCGTAGCGCCACCATCGACTGCTTTCTGAGCATATTCAACTGAAGATGTGGCATAACTATCGGCTACTTATTACTTAGAAGTTAGAATTCTTGCTTTTCACAAGATTCTATAACATTTAAGAATCAATAACATAGTTTTCAAATACATTAAAAATAGAAGGATTAAATACGTCAAATCATAATGTTGTAAAATTGACTAGTTTTACAATTCATGTCATGTACAAACGTGATAACAAATGTTGAATTTAGTGAAATGCTTATTGCATATCAATATAATTGATCTGAAAAAGTCATTGTAAGTAATTCTGACTAAATAAAACTGAGGTTTTCAATTAGTGGAAATGTGAAGTGCCTTGAAAAATGCGTCCATCAGGGGAAAACGTGGCAGCGGCAAGATCATACCCAGTACCAATCGAACTCATCTGAAAGCAGAATTCAATCATTAATAAATCCTCATAACTCACATTACTTCCCAACGATTACAGGATCCAACGACAGTGTCTCATAAAACCGCTTGATGCAATGAATATAGTTTGTTCAATTTAACTCGCATTTAATGGTCTTCACTGTGCAATAATTTGTGTACCACCATTATTTATTTATTGCTGGATATTATCTGTGGGCCGTTTCTGACAAGCTTACTCATGTGCTAGCATTTATTCATTTGAGATTGATTATTCCTTTATTATTATTGTTGTTATTGTAACTATCATTACTAGCACTATTATTAGAGTTTCCTTTTTTAATTAATCACTTTTTATAAACTTCCGTTGACCATATACCATTTCATTTACTGTTCGTTCATGCTCAACTTAGCGTGTAGTTCATTACTAGTTTATCATTTAATGCATTTCTAATTTATCATGATTACATTTCTCTTTGCTTGATTATTTTTTGTTACTTGAGCATATTTTTTGGTCCTCACTGTACATCGCATCTTTGCGAAGTTTTCTAAATCCCGATGAGTTTGTTTAAGGCTTCATTTTACTTATTTCAAAATGAAATCTAACCTATATTAAGATTCTTCAGTTAATCTCAGCCAGGTCATAGTTTATTCTTTGCGAGTGATAGAATTTACAAATGTGAAAGAACGTGGAACGGCAAATCATGCAAGACAAAAGAGAATGTGTAATACTTTATAATGGGTGATCTTGTTCATGATGCTTTACGTGCCGTTAGTTTTTTATTTTTTTATTTGTAGACTGACTTTATATCTTTTTACTTTGTTTAATTCCACTTTATGATCCTTATAATCAGTTTTTTGAGCGTTATCTTTCGTTTTCTAATAGTTTTCTGTCAAGTGTTAAGTAGTTTCGTAAAAGTAACTTTTACATGATAAAGAGCTATCTTGCATTAGTTATGAGAAAAGACGGGATCATTTAAATTTGATTCTCTAGTGTGAATATTACAGACGGGCTTCAGTGAAGAGGTTGAAGCATTGATTGCAGATATCATTGTTCAACGCTTAGATCAAGATCCATCATGGATCGTTGTCAGTCAACAAACTGATAATAAAAAGTTTGGGAATAAAGTTAGTTATCTTAGTGAAATTGAACAAGATTTTAATTTTCATAAAATCAGTAACTGAATATTTGGATATGTAGTTGCTGTCTATTTGCTTCTTTATTGTATCAAGATTTAAATTGTGGGTGGTTCTAGGAACTAAATTTGGCAAGAGTACGAATTATAGCTGAACAGTTGTGGAGACGTGTAGAACGAATTTATGATAACAAGTTTCAAGTGTGGAAACAAAATGAAGAAAAGTCAATAAATGATATGGTTACAAAACTGCGACACGTATATAAAAAAAATCTTCTGCTGAAGCAACGACAAGTACATTGTGCAACTTTTTTCGAACCTTTGTTCATTTTCATTGTCAGTAGTGAAATTCAAAGGACTCACCTAAATGCCATAGTTTCAGTACTTTTGCAAATTGATCTTAGTGATGAGAAAAAACAAATTAAAAGATAGCAAATTTAAATATGAAAAGGGAATTTATCAAAAAAATATGTTTGGTTTCATTTATTCAGAGGATGAAATACTCACTTTTTTTCGTGTTCTGTTCCATGTATTGCTCATTTATCACTTAAAAACCTCTGTAAGAAGTAAATTCTAGGGGAAATGACAAAAGTTTCATGCATTTTCTCCTCAGTTAGAGTCTGGGAGAAAAATCAACCTTTCAATATAATATGCTTTAGTTTGAAGAACTGATAGAACGCAAAGATCAAGAATACAAAGACAAAGAAAATTTGTTACGGGAAGATGTTCGTCTTATATATGAGGTATGTTTTGGGAATATAGGATGAATTTATTTCCGAATTAAATATGTGAAGCACAATCGTACTATTTTTCCAGAAAAAAAAATTGGAGTTGGAAAAAGCTTGGCGATTTATTGAGACAGCGCAAAAAGAATTACAAATCAGGAAAGAATTGTTAGAAAACGCTCAAGCTTGTTTCAATACGTTAGTTCAATTTTTTGTATTAGATGAATTGTCTCTTGATTGTATACTCATGTAAATATTCATCAGCAGTGCCAAAAATGAGCAATCTTACATGTTCTTTTTTTCAAAGTGGTACATGTACATATCGGTTGTTTCTGTTTGTGTTTCTAATATTTCATATAGATTTAATCTTTTTTTATCGAAGCTATCATAATTATTTTCTTGATTTACTTCATGACATACGTCATATTTTCATACGAGCAATGTTAAGCCAAGAACTACAAATTAAAAAATTTAGAAGAAAAGAAAATGAATTATATCACATTGAGCACGAGAAACGCTCGCTAAAACAGGTCAAAAGAACACTGGATATGCAAGAAAAAAACTTCAATCAACGCGTTCAAGAAGCCATTCAAAAAGCACGAGAAAAGGATAATGCTCAAATGAAAGGAATGGTATTATTTTATTTTTAAAAATTCTCTGTAAATGAGTTAATATTAACCAAAATCTCAGAATAATGACTGATCAAACTTTAGATTTCCGAGTGGAATGAGAAGGAAGCAATATTATCCAAAAAATATGCAATAGTTTGGAATAAAATATGTGAAATTTCTACCGAACAACAAGTTTCCGCACAGGAATTTACACGTTTAAAGAAAATAGAGGTATACTATTCACCTAAAGTGTCAGATGTTATGTTCGTGCTTGTCTTTTGTTTTTGCTTATATTTTGATTGGTTCATCACTTCGTGGTGAAAAGTAATGTGATTTTTTTTGGGAGGGATTTTTGTAAGTATAGAAAGAACTATATATTACTTTAGTTACTTATATAGAAATTAACTAAACATATTATAAGTTTAACCTTAAAAGCTGTGTGGAGTAGCTCACTGTTTATTTTTATACGTATTTTGGTGATAAAATTTTTTTTAAATTAAAGATAGTAAAACAAAGAGCATCTTGTAGGAAGAAATGCTCATATATTATAAGAAGCTTGCGGAAACGGAACGTGCATTGAGCGAAGCTACAGAAACTCAGCATAGAATCAGTGGTGACTTGGATTGCATCAGGAACGAAAAAACAATGTTATACCAAGAAGTACTTATGAAAAAATTTGTGTTACGTATTGGATCTTTTTTAGAAATCACTTAGTATGGTGCGTATACCAGAATATTCATATTCATTTTAAGCTCACTTTAAGTCACCTATCATAAGTACTCTTATATTTCGCGCATTTTTGATGTTTTAGAATAAATTATTGAAAGAAAGATTAGAGAGACAAAATGCAACCGTCAACAGTCTGAGGAACCAATTAAAACTGGTCGAAGAGTCAGCTGCTGTACGCATTAATGATTTGAAAATAAGGAATAAACTCGTTGTATGCGTTTATATCTTCACTAATATGAATATATAAGATTTTTTTGACTGAAATGGCTATTTTTTTTCGAAGGAAAATGTGGTAAGCAGAGTAGTGTTATCATTCCACATTGTCTGTTTGTCGTATTTGACCTATAAATTAGGTTTGTATGGTCTGTGATTCGAAATTCTCTTAGGTTTTCAAATTTTTGCGGTTGAAATATCGAAACTCTTTGTATTTCAAAGTTAGATTAGTACAAACAGAGGTCTAAAAAATTTTTTTCTTTAATAAAAAATTTTTGTCAAAACGTTGAATAGTACAGAGGGAGCAGTTTTTGTATTTATAGATGGAGCGAATGCAAATGGTTAGCTTAGAGCTCCAAAAACAAAGACAAGAAGATTTCAGTCCTTCCCGTGTCCCACCTGCAGTTGCGAGGTCTGTATTTTTTACTAAATTAACACTCCATTGACTTTAAATGACGTAACCAGTATCTATCACTCATCTCAGAAATACTGCGCTCGATTTGATCTCCATTTCGTCATCTACACCTACCGAGACATCATTCGACCGGGATGTTCTTAAAAAAATGAAAATACTGAATATAGCCAAGCAGGTAACAAATATTGAAGTTTCAACGTATTCTCAACTCAAGAATGTGAATTTTCGTGGTAATTAATGATCGTCCTACTTTATTTGATGTAAAATTGAAGGAGCTTGATTCTTCATTGGAGAATATACGCTTAAGAGGCCATTTGCGACCGGTAGAATACATGAAATGTAAAAAGATATCATGTGACCATATAAATGACATGGAGAACCGAGGAAGTTTGACACATATTATCGAGGTTGATTGCATCCATTGTCATGTTTCATAGATTATCGCTTCCGTGTATTTTGCTCTATTCGAACTGTCAAATTAACTGGGTTTCAGAACGAACACCTAATTACTGCGAGCGGTATTGCTCAAGATGTGAAAATTGAAGACAGAATTAGTCTCAAAGATTTGGTAGGCAGTAGATCCACACTTCGGAAGAATGATGGAGAATACACATCAAATCCAGCTGTGCACAGTGTTGAAAAGGTCGTTGGATTTTCGATTTAACAGCACATCAAATTTACTTCAGCTTCCAATTGTTACATTCATACTATTTTTACCTCCTTCAGACGGAAGGAAAAAACGTGACTTGCTGTGTGGAGAAAGACAGTAAAATTGATCTGCATATGCTTCAATATATGAAAATGGTCCAAGATGAGACGAAAGAAACCATTGTACTGACACCAGAAGCTGGATATGTAATATTTCAAGATTTTCTAAAGTGTAATTTGTATGAACAAACTTGAATAGATGATCTGGGCATTATTGAGAAATAAAAGTATAATGAACTACCTACGAAATACATCAAGTAATTCGAGAAGGTAGAAAAATCAGGAACAGATGAAATATATGGCTGTTTCAGGGTGAATCAGATGAAGTTTCTTTTGCTGTTGAAACAAGTCAAAAATTGGGAGCATCCACTGATTTCAGCTGGTAGATGTCACTATGAAATTTGATTAAAAAAAACATGCATTTACTGCGCATTCATACTGTGGTAGCTGACTGACATTTCGTAAATGTCAGTATGTTGTATTATCAGTTTGAGACTTCAGTTGTTTGCACTTTGTGAAAGTACCCATTGACATAATGTAATAAAGGTATCAAATATTAATAACCCTTTCGTCCCAGCGTAATGTACGCAGCAAAAACCAAATTTCGCTTATTTTATTCCAATATGAACTGTTTTAAATACCTCAAAGCACGTAGTTACGCACTTTTTATGCAACTATCCTGTAACAAATGATGGTGCTCTATTCTCTCACACACTTCAAACGTACAATAGCCTAAAATTTATTAACAAGTTTTGGAAAGGGAAAGCAGTAGTAAGACGACTTATCTCTTAAAACTAGATATGAATACAGCATTTCACCACGGTCTCGAGGAAGGACCGAGGTCCAGAAGTGCAGAACGTTCAGTAAATGATCGTGGTTCAAACTTGTTTTCTGGCTGAATGGGTCTACCTGCTTTAAACAGATCTGGATATCTTTCTTTCAGTTCCTATAAGTTTCACTCCATTGTTGAACAAACTGGAGGCAAGGTTTTGAAATTACAGTAGCATTTAAACTGTCAATAAAAGTCAGTAAAATTACAAACATTGATTAGAACTGCGTTGAAAGCTTGGTGTAAAATAGTAATGCCTTTTTGGTTAGTGAAATATAAGTATGATTACTACCTGATCAGCCCAAAAGCGTTCGGAAGGATAACTTAGATCGTTTCCACGCAAAGTTTCCCATCCCTGAAATCATATCTTGATGACGAACGTGAGGTACTGTTTCAAGCTATACATGAAGCCAAACGTACCCTACTCTCATACTTCCAATAGTAATAGCCAACTTCTATTAGAAACCATCCAATAACCAGTTTTGGAACTACAGCACGTATGAATGAACCATAATACACACCCTGAACAGAACCGAAAATAGTTTCGACATTAGATCTTTAATAAATAAAGGAGAACCATTCTAAAACTGATTACATAAAAACCAGTTTCTGATCTAACCAATGTAATTTGTATTTAGGATTATTACAATGGAAACTCAAGGTTTCCAGCATAATTGATAAGTATTTAAAGCATAGTTAACTGATGTCGCGTTGTGGAGTTGACCATTTAACTATGGCGAAAATTAATCTAGTGAAGTGAATATTAAGAATAAAAGTAACATTAAGAAACACTGATAGGGTGAGATGGTCAACTCCGAAATGTAAAATTACGACTGTTTACAGAACATACAAATGTAGGCTTTAGGAAATGCTTGTAAAGTCTATCCATCGGTGTACGATATAAAACGCGAATAGGATTAAGCTGTCTATGTACGGCATCAACATGGATTGGCTCGTCCGGATGCAGATGTTGGTCCAACACCCATTTTCTAAATACACAAATTTGAGAGCTACATGAATCACATAACACGGAAAAAGGAAATTAAAATGTTAGCTAAACTTCCATAAATAAAATGATACTTCTAGTCAAGTAAAAAAGTTTACAGCACCAATAAAGTTTTAATGATAACTGTCTAAATTACGTAAATTCGAACAAGTTGATAAGTTGACGACTAATTTATCTTCATTTAAACTACATTAAAGATCTCCAAATTAAACTCTAATACACTTGCTTATTGCAAAAACCAAACGAAGATTACTTTCGCCACTCTCTTTCAGCTGGTGTGAGTCCAGCTGCTCGTGCTCGTTCATCAGCCATATGTAGTTCTAAGCTCATCGGTTCCAGTTTCAAATGTGGCACTTTATCACCCTGAAAACTAAATTATGATTTGAATTTTATGATGCGACAGAAATTTTTTAAGTAGAAAGAACAACATAAGAAATCAAAATCGAAAATAAATACAATTTCCACTCCCTGATCTTTTCTGTAGCAGTGTTCAGACCAGTTAAAACGTAAAAAGTAGTTAATTCATCATAGAATGTACATGTCTGGTCACTGTAAATATCTTCAGTATGTATAATAGTTAATAAATTGAAATAAAGGCAATCTTCGACCAGTATGTCAAAAAATTCAGTACTCACTCTTTTAGAAGGATTTTCGTAAAATGTCACTCACTTACTACAAATTTAAATGCATTAATTATATATAATTACGAAATGTTACTCGAATGGTAGAAGGTGGAGGTATGCCCGAGCGAGTGTATGGTGATCCTCCTTTCTGACGAGTATAAGGTTCAATTTCGTCGTCATTAGTTACCGCTGGTTTATGATACTGATTACCCATTTACGAGGAAGATTAACGGTCTGAAATACCAATTAATAAAGCAAAAGAATTAGAATTTTACTGAAATGTGGGATTCTCCTTTTTGTATAAATTGATGTATATTAGTTTTGTAACTATGAAGAAAGCAATCGTACTTAGGTTGACTGTTCACAAAATGGAGAGAATCAGAATAATAAAACCTGCTTGAATGTCTCTGAATTACTCACAGATATAAATTCACTAAAAAAAGAGGCACATTCTGATAAAGGATCCGGTTTATGGAATAAAGCTTGGAGAAAGCCGTTCTTTACATTTAGAAGCCCAAAGAGCATGAAAATAGTTGAGGGTGCAAATGTATAAAAAACTAAACACAGTTATGGTAAAAGGATTTGAATTAAATCAATGTAAAACCCATCTACACAGTTTCTACGGAGGTTATATACATATTATAATTATTATGATGAATGACTAAAACATCTTAGGTCGCCTTATGTACACTATATGCACGTGGGATGGATTTTTTCATTTGCATTCTTTTGCAATGTTACTGAGTTATGCGGTTTTGACAAATGGTTCAAGCATTTAGAGTTATGCGTTATTGGCATTGTTAGAAATCTTAGATAGGTTAGTAGATTACTTTTTTGTGGAAATGCTGAACGGATTACTTTAAACTTGTCATTTTGTGTTTATAGTTTCAGTCCTGTGACTATCAATCTGTTCCGATGCCAATTATTGGCATTAAAAAGTCCGTAATTGATCGTTATATGGGCAAAGTTTATAGTAAGTTTTATCTCTTTAATTTTTAGTTTTAAACTAAAAATACTTTTTTTAAAAGATTGTAGTCTTGATTTACTTTATCCGTTTTATGAGCGTGGTATTTTTTTTTCGATTTCAGCTGAAAATGAATTCGGGAATCTATTATTCGATTATGGCTTAGAGCTTGATGAAGTGGTTCGTTTTTAAATTTATATATCGACTAAAAAAGTATATAATCGACTTTTTGATTCAGTCGTCATGAACTGCTATTTTTAAATCCAGAGAATGTATATTGCTTGCTAATATTTAGTTCTGATGTATTCTTATTACTCATCTTGAATTAGTGAAAGTGAAAATGTGTAAAAGAAGATTGTTTTTTATCAATAATTGGTTAGCTTTCATATTTTGGTTGAATATAAAGCTTTCAAATTGTGTAATGAAAGCCACTTTTGTAAGATTTTTTAGTAGATACAACTTATACCTTTTTAATAATCATTTATTAGGTTCTATTTATTTAGACAAGTGAAAAAGTTGCTGATCAAAAAGAAAAAGGCATAGCAGTAAATGAAGATAATGCAGAAAATTTATGTGATGATGAAGTTTATAAAATTGAGTTACCTGCCAATCGATACGATTTGCTTTGCGTTGAAGGTCTTACTCGAGCTTTACGAATATTTAAGAATGAGTGCGATGTTTTAAAATTTGTTTCAAAAGATGCATTGTTTTCACTTTTATATATGTAATTTTTTTTGTTCTCTTCTATATTATATATCACTTTTTTTTTCCGTAAACTATTAACTTTTCGGGTTTCAGAATGGAAACACCAATCTATAAGCTATTAGGACGATCTCGTCACAAGATAATAATTAAACCTGAAGTTCTCACGATTCGTCCGTTCGTCGTTGCGGCTGTTCTTATTGATGTTAGATTGGATGCAGATTCATATACATCACTGGTAGATTTACAAGACAAACTACATCAAAATATATGCCGAAAAAGAACATTGGTAGCTATTGGTACTCATGATTTGGATACGGTGCAAGGTTCAGTTTATTTCAATTTTTATTTAACCGATTGATTCTAACTATTGTGAATGTTTTTACAAATTATCTTCTGAAGCTTTTTTTTGAAATCAAGGTACCTTCAAGAGAATTTTCGGATTGTTTAGGGCCATTCTATTATGGAGCAGAAAAGCCCACTGACTTGCGTTTCAAACCGTTAAATGGTGCAGCGGAATATACTGCGGAGGAATTGATGGTTATGTATTCGGTAAGTATTTTCATGTTGACCTCTGTTATTATCATTTCAGGTTTCTGTCATCGTCATTTTATTTTCATATTTAGTGAGTATATTAGTATGAAGCATTGGCTTCGTCATCAAATAGTAAGTCTTAGGAAGTGTTATTGGCCATTTTGTTGCAAAATCTTTTTTCTACTTTTATCGTGATTATGACCTATTAATTTTATGACTCTTACATTATTACCTTGTTATTCTTCCAGACTGATAGCCATTTAAAATCATATCTTCCCATAATTATCAACGAAAAGAGATATCCTGTGATTCGGGATACAAACGGAGTTGTATTATCTATGCCACCCATTATTAATGGTTTATACTTTATTTCATGTACTTTGTTTGGTGTATGTTTTTTTGCAAACATCAGGTTTACTCAGTATAAGAAAGATGACGGATTTTTAATAATAGAAGTTTTTTTATTACGGAAAAATTTCGAATCGTGTGAATGTTTTTTCATTGATTTCAGGCGACCACTCGAAGATCAAGCTCAGCACTCGCAATATATTAGTTGAAGTAACTGCAACAGATTTGGAAAAAGCCAAAATAGTACTGAATACGATTGTAGCAATGTTCAGTCAGTATACATCTTCTGAAACTGGAAATGGGACTTCGTTCATGTCAGCTCTACAACTGTTATTTCGAATAGTTAGAAATTGGAAGCAGTCATCTGAAACATTAGACATAAAAATTAATTTTTTTCTCTCAGTAGTTAGTAGTTTTTTCGAGGTGATAAACAGTTTAATTCTACTGGTTTACTAGAATAGATTTATTTTTTCAGCATCGAACCAGTAGAAATTATTACAGCTGTTGGCAGTAGTCATCATTATCCTGTACGTTTTTTATTTTCCATTCATTTATTCTCCAAGTCAGATATTTATGATCAATCATTCAAGAGGCATAACTCTATAAGAAAGCTATTTTTTGTGCTTATAGACTGCACTTTTTTTACTTCCAACTATAATGAGTTCATCAAATTTAAAGTGTATTAAATGAGCTCACCAAGGATTTTAGTTTGTAGCAAAATCAGATCTGTGTTCATAGTATGGATTTGCTTCATAAATGGATGTTCTCACTTTCATACGAGTATTCTCTTCTAACTGAAATCATGGCATGCATATTATTTCAGTTTCTTCTGTTGCATTTTTTTCTTTACTGTGTTGGTGAAATAAGATATAATTGTGAGTCACTGTGTGAATGATTTGCTCTGGGTAATATTAGACGTTGTTCTTCTAATGACATTAGACTTCTTGAGCGATGTATCGCTCTCTGAAACAAGTTTATCTTGATAGAATTTTGAAGCACTTTATTTGTATGTGTGCATTACTTGGTTAATTTGAACTTACTGAATGCATTTTCTTTTTATCAATAAAAATGTAATGTTATTGTGCTGAAGGCTAAGAAATTCCTACTCTGGCACTAATAAATGTAGAATCCCCTGCATCCATGATTCGACCGCCAAGAATGAGATATTAAATGAAAAATGATTGAAAATTCTTTCATTTCCGTTTATAAAATCGAATTTATATTTGTTGCAGTTTCGATTTTCACATAAGTCTGTAAATCATAATGTCAACGCAATTTGTGTTATTGTGCTTACTTTATTTAGGATTTTCGTGAGAGGATAATTAAAGCGAACGTTGGAACTATCAATAGTAGAGTTGGGTTGAATCTGAAAGCCGAGGAAATGTGTGCATTGCTGAAGAGAATGTCTCTTAAGACGAAGGTTGGTTCGGCTGAAAACTGCTGCGATGTTTTAGAAGTGGGTTACTTATTAGTAATATAGAAAGACTTTGTATTTGTGTTTCTATTTGCAACTAGTTTGTGTCTGTCAGTTCTCATTTCGTGTAATTATTGCCTTGTAGAAACTAATGTGGTTCCCTAACGGAATTTTAGAAACAAAGATCACAGTATTCATTATTCTTGATGTAGGTGCATGTACCAATAACGCGAACTGATATATTGCATGAATGTGATGTAGCCGAAGATGTTGCTATTGCTTATGGTTTCAACCAAATTGCACACCAGTTTCCAGAAACATATACTATTGGAGAACCATTTCCATTGAATAAACTGACGGACTTGTTGAGATATGATGTAGCTGCTGCAGGATGGACTGAAACATTAAATTTTGCATTGGTTTGTTGCAATTCATTTACTAACGCAGATGGTAAATTGCAAATATTGTTTCAGAAATTTTTGTGAAAGTTAAATTGTCTAATTGTTTTAGTGTAGTCGAGACGTTATATCTGTAAAGTTGAGAAAGCCAAATGCTCTTAAGAATGCTGTCAAGATATTGAATCCGAAGACATCTGAGTTTCAAGTCAGTTCTATTGATATTTTAATTAGTGATAATGGTTGAGTTATGTCCAATGGAACATCATAAGATTTCAGTTTTTTAGAAATTATTGACGTAGTTTTTATCCTAATTAATTATGAGACTTATTCACATTAAGTTTTGAATACTAGAAAGATTTTTTGAGGCAGCCCGAACATCTTTACTTCCTGGTTTATTAAAGACGCTTGCATCAAATAAGGATATGCCTCTACCTCTTCGATTATTTGAGATCCAAGATGTAATTTTAAAAGATTCATATGCAGGTACTTCGTAAAACTTCCAAAATAATATTCGGTCTCTTTGTGATCTATGTTTTCCCTAAACTTCTATAGTTCAGACATTAAAAAACGTGGACATCATTCAAAGTACTGGAGCTTTTGCTCTTTGTAATTCTAGATTTCTTCTTTTCAGATATAGGGGCGAGAAATGAAAGGCGTTTATGTGCTGTATATTGCAGTAAGAGCTCAGGCTTTGAAATTATGCATGGTTTGTTAGATCGAATAATGCAGCTCACTGAGGTTAAGTGGAATAATGATGGAACTGGGTATTTTATTGTTGCTTGTGATGGTATGTTAAGAATTTATGGTTCATAATTTTTTTAATTTGATCTTTGCTTTGAATTTTATTTCTTATTGTTACAGTTCATCTATTAATTTTTGAAAGCATATTTTATTTCATAGATACATCATATTCATGATTTTTTAGTTTATTGCATTTGCTGTAATAGTAGAAGTCTAGAGTTTTAAATATCTTCATTGTTTAAAGATCTTTCCATTTGAATGTGTTCTAATATTGGTTAAACTTAGAAGCACAGGAAACTGAAGTATGTTTTGTATTTTTCCTATTGAAAGTTAGAGTGAAAATTGCACAATTTTAGATCCAACTTATCTGAATGGAAGATGTGCAGCAGTCGTTGGTCCAGGTGGAATGTGCTTAGGTACAGTTGGTGTTTTGCATCCAGATGTGATAACTAATTTTGGACTTACTACACCCATTTCAGTGCTTGATATTAACATTGAACCATTTTTATAATCATTGATGAACACATGGAAGGTGTGATCGTTGATTTTGTCATTCGTGTTATGGTTATTTGTAAAAGTAAACGTAATGCATCGCTTTGTCAAAGATTATTACGGTATTAAAACCGGTCTTTTTAACAACTTAATCAATTTTTAGTATTTCAGGCAACTAGGGGTTTTTTAAAGTAGGTTTCTCGATTTATTTATTTTTGGTGTCCAATAAATGTAATTTTCAATTATAAGTCAACGATGACTCTTTTATAAGAGATGAATGAGAGAACAATAATCTAAATCAAGATATGATAAGAGATTTCTGTATTTCATTTTGTTTACATCAATAGATTAGGATAGTAATTCCTCATTTGCATTATGCGTTTTTATTTCTGGATTCTCCTAAGAGATTGTTGTTGCTAGAAAACTACGTGGACAATGTACTCGGATTGTTTGCTGATTATATTTATTGCAATATGTACCGCAGTAATCGGTGAAGCCTTAACATATATACTTGTTTATCGTAGTGATCAATACAAGCGTCTGAAAAATGAAATGGAACGAAAGACTAAGAAGCTGGAACGGAAAGTCAGTTTTATCAAATTTTTTCTCTCAAACAGTGAGGTGAATAGTAGTAATGATGTTGATTTAGATATCTATCTTCATTGGGTTTTTTTTCCATATGGTTTTTAGAAGGAGACAACGGCTGAAGCTGATCGAACAGCAAAACGCAAAATCGAGCGAGAAGAGGAGAGACTAAAGGCAACAAATCGTGATATGAGTATGTTTAAGATGAAAAGTATGCTTGCAATTGGTTTTGCATTCACTACGTTGCTGTCGACATTTTCTTCAATATTTGAGGGTCGAGTGGTTGCCAAACTACCATTTACACCTATTTCTTGGATTCAGGGACTCTCACATAGGTAATTCTCTGTGCATTTTTGTATAATAATTGTGATAACTTCAGTGTTTTCTGTCATTAGATATTTTCTATCAATTAGATGAAGAAAAGTAGATAAGTTCCTTATAAAGCGGTAATGTTTGCCATCAAGTAGTCTTCAAAAATATGATGTGAAGCATAGTGCAGAACAAAATTAAGCTGTCAAAGAGCATTTGAGTTCACCTATAAAGTATTTTATTAATCTATACCTTTGCCTATGGGATTTCTAGTCTGCAATTTTTGTAGCATATATGTTAAGAAAAACACTCGTGCTCTCTCTTATCGTTTATGTATGTCGTAGGTCACTGATTACATAATAATAAAGAACATTTAACGTAGAGGATTGTCTGCAAAATTGGAGCCAAAATTGATGGGAAAAGTTGTTCCATTCATTATCCAGATTATTTACCGGTGTATTAAATGAAATTATTATATTTCAGGAACCTTGTGGGGAATGATTATACTGACTGTTCATTTATTTTTTTTTATATACTTTGTACCATGTCAATAAGACAAAATCTACAAAAGATGCTCGGTTTTGCACCATCTCGTGCAATGAATCGGCAATCGCAGCCTAATATTTTTGGCACTTCAACATCATCAACAAATAATTTCAGTTATCTTCGGTAGGCATTGCAGTAGATATTCCTTACGGGTGATAGCTGTATTACTCAAAAAGTGTTAGGTTTATTGTATTTACAAAGTTGTTAATTATCGTGTAAAAGAGTTTTTAAAAATCTCCTAATTGTTCAATATTGAAAATATAATGCCATGATTTGAAATGAAAATTATGAATTGTAAGCAATTACATATTGAAGGCATAATTAAGTAGATTTATTCCAGCTTTCACTTTTCTTGCATGTTTCTTTAAATTACTTTGTTGTTTTTCCTTGAACTGATGTCTTTAATAGCGTTTCGAGACAAGTTATCTATCAGAACTGGTCACTTTTTTGTTGATAGATCAGATTTTTGATAACTTCAATAATGTTAATATTATGTTACATATGGAATATTAGGGGTTGTCACGACCATCTGCTTCAATCAACTTTAACTGCATAAAAATGATTAGAAACAGTGTTATAATCATAAACCTTACCTATTCCATCTTATGTTACTTACTGCTTAAATATGTCTTGTTTTCATTAATCTCCCTGCATACTTGTTAAAGCTTTCCATTGTTTATTAATCATTGCTATCGTGATTATAATGAACTGTATCCTGATTATAATCAATTGTATCGTGATTGTAATCAATTGTTTATGAAAAATAAGAACAAAAAATGACGTGGATAAATTAAATACTCTTCATTTGTAGTCAGTCTTGAGGCGGAATGTGTCAGCATACAATGAGAATTCTAAATTATGCAACGCAAGTTAACCAAGCTATTTAGAAGCTTCTTCTGAGCAAATAAATGAATGAAGTGCAGAGAGTTTCTGGATGTTTCTGAAACGGTGGAAAACGTCTCTCATCTTAACTAGACACTCTACTTTGTGAGAAAGAAGCTATCAGATCTTTCAGATTATGCTTGTTTTATATGGCATTGCGACACACGCGATATCTGCATAGATACATTGCACTTAAGTAGTTACGAAGTCTAATTTCTGTGTATTTTACTAGATGCCACACATATTCTGTTACAACTATTGATTCAATAGATCAGATCCATACTCCAAATAAATTTCTTATAATTCGCTGCTTTCTTTTTAAGAAGTGATTATTATTGTTGCTTTTTCAGACGTAAAAGGGCACAACTAAAATGTTAAAAAATATGTTCAACATGTATTTCTACAACCAGTTTGTTGAGTGACAGGATGTAGTGGTTACTCTGCTTCAGTTTCTTGTAAATGGAATTACCTATATTCCATATTCACTTGATTGATGGTGCAATTCATTGGATGAAATATCATGTTTGAGCTTGAAAAGTTATTTTTATGTGCAAGCTATGATAATTAAATATTACTAAATTTGATACGCAATATTTTCAGCTAACGAAAATGTGGTAAGTGATAGCGAAAACTAAACAATAAATTTAGCTTTATGTGAGAACTAGTTTGCCAATTGCATTAACTTTGATGTTTCACTTTTACCTGTTACTTGTTTTTCATCAAACTGGCAATTTTGGCGATCAGAATGTTTTCACTTAATAACTTCTTATGATTTTATGTATTTATTTTTCCCTACAAACTTCATCATTGCTTTGTTTTCGAAAATATTTGAAATAAAGCCTTTCAGTCAGAAGGTATTAAACGGAATTAGAAGTATGCTTCTTTCCAGGTACCTCTTTTTTTTAATCACTATCTGTCACACATTTTCGATAATTATGGTAGTTTGCCGTCCTAACGAACTAATGAAATTATTACCGTCGTCAATCAATATTCCGGATGACAGTGACCAGTTTGAGATAGGAAGTGGTGATATCCAACGTAGGTATGTCAAAAATACGAAAGAAAAGATATCGAATAAAAGGAATCTTGATGTGGGAAAAAGGTATGTTGGTTTTTTATATCCAAACTTTTGAAGAAAGAAGTTAGCAGTTTATTATTCAACAAAGTTAGTATTGAAATTTTTTAATTTTCATTCGCTAACTTAGTCTCTTCATATCCATCCTTCAAAACATTCCTTCAATGCTTTGGCAAATAATTTAGTACATGTGAAACTTATTATGAGATTCAAATACCGTAAAAGTAGATTTCTATAAATTTAGCTGTGTGAGAAGAACCATAAACATTTTATCTAGTTTTATTTGTTAATATTTTATATTAGATAAAGTTTCTAATATGTCAGACAGCTACGAAAACGACAGTTGATTGTGTCATCACCTGGTTTAGTAGAAACTGTCCCAATAGTTGCCACTCAACAGATTATTCATCGACCTATCATTACACGAACGATTCTACGGCATATTTATACTCCAATCATCTCAGTTCCGACTTACTACCCGGCTTATTATCCATATTATGTTGCATGCTGTTAAATTTTTGTATCATAAAATAATGAAACAAATCAGAATGTAATTTTGTTTGTTTTTGTTCTTTCTCTTCTTATGATTTGAAAACTGAATTTCTCTTTCTTGAAGAACGATTGAAAAATTTTCCTGTTTAGACTATCTTATTAGCGAATATTTGTGATTTTGATGAGTATATATTTACGTCATATTTCCTTGCTGCATGTCTTGCCATCACATTTAAATTTCTATAATAATAGAAATTCCATAACTTCAAGTATTTACAGAAAAAATATGGCACGAAAGATCAACTGCTTTAGAGTCATAAGTTTGTAAAAAAACGGAAAAAGGTAAGCAAGAAGCTTTAAGCTGAAATTCTTCCCTGCTATGCATTTTAGAATTGGAGTAGAAATCTGTATCGATATCCTCTAGATCTGTATCGATATCCTCTAGATCTGTATCGATATCCTCTAGATTACTAAATTACCTTTTAGAATAGCTAATTCTAATAGTTAATTAGGGATGAAGTAATTCTGTTTTCAATGCAAATAAGATGGTGCTGATTCAAAGCGTTAATGTGTTTATCAGTTGCGCGCAAGGTTGTATGGTTTCATTATGCAAGAACCATCAAATCATAAGCAAAAAGTATAAACTTTCATATCAAGTGCAATATTCTTTATCATAAGATATTAACTACCGAAAATTGCTTACAATGCGGTCAAACTACTTACTGGCTCCAAGATGAATAATTTTTCGTATAACTGTGGGTCCTAACCAATGTCCTTTGATACCAAGGGTCCAGTATATCCAAGGTAGCAAATACCTTTTCATTAAAAATGAAATAAATCGTGGTTTAGCTTGATTGATGGGCAAAGTTTCAAGTGGTCCTTTTGGAGTGAATTCAGCTAGAACGACGTGTCGAAAACTGACAATGATAGGACATGATGAATAGCAATCGTACTGAAAATAAGTAAATTGTAATTTGGACAATAATATCTTCCTCAAAATATTCAGCTGGACATTGCAATTCTTATGTAAAAGGAGAGAATTTAAAATTAAAATCTATAACATAATCCTTCGAAATGCAGAAACGTGAAATTGTATTAAAAATCAAAGACTGGTGATACCGTTTCCAATATTGGCTTCTTTTCGAGAAATCTTGGGATATTTTTGCTCAGTGTCCTCATTTGTGTAACTAAATTTTAAAAAATTTGTTAAATTGCAGAAATTTAGTCAAATACAGCAATTTTTATACATAGAGTGACTTACAACATTTTGGTGCAGTTTTGCGTAAGAAATAATATTTGAAAAAGAATGTCAAAAGACTTTGAACTTTACCGAAAACAAAGACTAACATAAAGCTGCGGCTGTTTTCTTATTTGGCGATCCAATGCAATCACCAATACCAAAAATATTAGCATATTTTACATGTTGCAGTGATTTCGGATTCACATCCAAAAAATTTGCAGCATTTGTTATATCTGGTGAGTTACGTAACACTTGAGGTGGTAAGCATGGTGGAGTTACATGCAGCAAATCAAACTAGAAATTTAATTGCATATAATGACTAACTGTTGAAGAACTGTACAACTTCAGTTGAGCTTTGGCGTAATAGTACCTTTCTCAGGAATTCAAGACAAAGCTTAACCTTTTGAACTTCTATTTGTCCTGTTGGTTTGGCATCTGTACCAATTACTTCAAATGTTGCTTCACGTTTGGTGATGTCAACTGACTTTAGGTTTCGAAATAGTTTCAGTTCGATTGATTTGTTTTTGACAATCTCATTAAGTACTCTGGCATATTTTGGTACATCAAATATATCAGATAAGGGTGTATTAAAAGTTAAATGAATCTGATCACGAACACCTCGCTGAAATTATTGCACTGTATATGTGAAATATATCAGAAGGATATTTTGATTTAATCGAAATTGTGATACTCTGATGTTTACAAACAAACGCCTACATATAATATGAAATAATTCAATATATCACTTAAATGTAATTTTTCCTTACATATTTAATTTCATAAAATCTAATAAAGACATATCAAATTTTTGGAACTTGTTCAAGCACGCAGCATACATTTCAGTATATGTTTAGAAGTTGAGTAATTTCATCTACAGCGAGAAAGAAATTAGTAATATGATAATAACTTTACCTGACGAAATATTTCATCAGCCAAATAACAAATCTTCTGCGCAGCACCAGTACATTTAACTGGCGTATTAGGAAGGGTGAATATTGCTTCACCTCTATCAAATAACTGTAGAACTTTTTGAGTTTTCTGAGCTAAGTCAGCTCGATAAATGCTGCATATATTTGGGTCAAACATTGCTTGAGCTAAATTTCCGATCTAAATTATAAGAAACAAATAGATAATTCTGCATTAATTATACTATTATAAGACATTAATCTACTTCTTTATCAATAACAATGAGAATTCAGTAAAAGCTGTCGTACTGACTTCAACATTATTTATTTCATATAAGTACTGAATAAGAGAACTGTCACCATTTAGTAAAAAAACTGTTTGTCGATGACAAGTATGCTAATTTTCAACCATTATTATTGCGGCAATGAATTATTACATAATAATTATCAATGTTATATTGATAAAAATAAACAATAATAATCAATAACAATATTATTATTACTGTTATTATAAATAAAATGTGGAGGTTAGTTCAAATTTTCGTTTCATTGTTTCTGGCGCTGGATCGCATTCCGGCACTCTGGCAGTACTTGTCACACACTCAGATTCGTTGTACTCATCGTTTTCACTCCA